TGCAGATGCCTCGAACCCAGCTTGGAATAATAAGCTATTAAGATAGGAGGACACAATAGGCAAGTTTTCAGGAGGCCCCTGGGTCAATAGGAAGTTGGAGCTATAGACGTAGAGGAGCTATAGACACAATAGGCAAGTTTTCAGTAGGCCCCAACAAACGCCCGGATTGGGTAATGGGCCCAGTTCTTATTTGGTACAGAATCTGGCCCGATGTCTGATACGAATATGCCAAGTGCTTATTTGGTCCTGAATGTGGTCCACATCCTTGTCCAAGTGCTTTATCTGGTCCTGAATGTGGTCCACATCCTTGTCCAGAACAAAGCCCCAACAAAGCCCCAACAAACGCCCGGATTGCGTAAAGGACTGTCTTAGGTAAGACCTTGGTCAGGATAGGACTAGGTAGTAGAGACTGCCGAGGGGTGGCTGTATGGAATGCTCGCTGTCTGGCCGCCCCCGGGCTGGTTGTCGTAGGAGGAAAAAAAGCATATAGGACAAATCGTGCTTGGCGACGGAAGTACCTGTGCGACAGGGCTCGTTCGATTGTGTGCATCAACTAGGGCTGCGAGAGGTTGTCGTGGCCTAGCCCTGGTGCATGCGACTGCTGTCCAGTATATCCGAGGAAGGGCCAACAACTGCCCCCATAGATGGTGAAGCAGGGGTTACGCTAAGGAAGAAGAACGATGAGGTAGAGGGGGCTGGGTCTTGTGAGCATCCAGAAAGGGAAAAAAAAAAAAAAAAAAAAAAAAAGACACTGCACTCGGATGATGTATCCAAGGGACGCTGGACCTGGTTTCCGGCAGGTGGCGGTCCCCACCAATAGATAGAGCAGCCCGACAGTCAAAGCGTAGATTACGGTGGTTCTCTTACCAGCAGTGGGATAAAAACTCTTTTTTTGAAGGGAACAAAAAAGAAAACAAGAAAGTGCAGGTGACAGAAACATGCTGTGTCACAGTGTTTGTTTTTAATTTTTGGTCGCAATGTTTTTGTATGGACTGGTGATGTATCGATATGGAAAAAGCCCAAAAAAAAAAAAAAAGATATGGAGAAAGTAGCTATGGCGCAATGTTTGCAAGTAGCAAAAATATTATTCTCCCCATTTTGGAAATTGCAAAACTAGTGCATGCACCTGGATGTGCTGGTGGACTGGTGCATCCGGCCACTTCGAAATGAAACTGGCCTATTTCTTGCCGTCTCATTTATTTGAATATATGCAGACCCACCAACTACTCTCTCTCTCTCTCTCTCTCTCTCTCTCTCTCTCTCTCTCTCTCTCTCTCTCTCTCTCTCTCTCTCTCTCTCTCTCTCTCTCTCTC